GTACAGCGTTGCATTACCGTGCAATTGCTAGTTAAAGTAGCGCAGTGCTAAATAGCAAAAAATGGCCTTGTCATGAAGGGGGTAAAGCCTTCTGGAGCTCAAATTGATACAGTCCTCTGCCCGCCTTGTGGGTCTCTCTGCTTCCAAGCCAAGGCAGCAAGTGGCTCTGGGCTCAGCACTAGTAGGAGCAGACAAACCCACAGACTCTCCCAACAGCAGTCTCTAGCAAAAAGCAATACTCACAGCACAAGGCTCTCTGTATCTTTTCCTGCAGCAGTAATGGCAGTCAAGCTGCAGTGTGCAGGCTGCCAGTGGGATCTCTTGCTGCAGCAGCTCTACCTTCTAAATTCAGAGCCCCTCCTCAGCTCCTGGCAGAACAACCTTACAGCCGCAGCCCCTGAGCCCTGTAAATGGACTCCTCAAATTCCAGTGCTCTCCTGGAGACAGTGCAATATTTCCCCAGGTACTTGAGCCCTGAACCCAATGTGGGTCCCTGCAATTCTCCCAGCTGTGGGCAGGGCTTAACACAGCCAGTTAAAAATCACAGGCGTACCCAACCAATGACAAGTCTTCCTGCCACGGGTTTCTGATGGTGGGATCCTCTTTAGCTGCAGAAGCATCCAGTCAATGTCACAGTCCAGCCCCGTCCTTCTCTGCAGCTGTCCATCAAAGAGGAGTCCCAGCTTCTTACATTACATCGGTGTTGCTACATTGAGCTTAATTCCAGCCCAACAAGCGCTATGCATCTTTTGCTGCATCTCAGTGCGGGGTACCACTGAGGACATGCTGTACCCCTGAGGACGTGCTATTGCACGAAACACGTTGGGTGGGGCCCTCATTGCTGACGTCACGCCGTCGTCTCCTGGGCAAGGAGCGGTGGCCATTTTGGTACCTTGTTATTATTTTCCACGTGGATTGCTTTGATATATGTATACCAACTTTTCAACAAATAGATACTACACTATATTAGTCTCTTTGGCTCCTGTGATTGAGCAATCTTCCCCAGATTAAAGAGACACGCACCACCGGTACTGTGAGGATGCTGGATGAATACCCTTAAGCTGTCCCTCTACTCCTGCACCCAGATGTGACAGATTGTAACCAATGCTTGTATACATCAAAGTTCTGGTGAGTGCACACCCATCGGAAGTGGTGGATTACCTTTAAAGATATATGCACTACTGCACTTTGGTCACAAGGATATATTGTGTCTTAATTGGAGAACTACTTCTGCTGAATTATCCTTTTTACTTTTATAACTGAAATCGGAATGATTATTATGGACATTTATTGATTCATTCACTTTATGCACATATTGCACTAATTAGCACTTTATACATTGTGCACTAATTACTTTATGATTAAAAATATATTTTATGTATTCATATATATCACAGCGCTGCACTTTAATATATTTTGAAATTGAAAATTCCACTAGTAATTTCCCCCAGAAACCTCTGTGACAGGGTGACAATGCAGGAGCACAGCTAGGAGACAGGGAGGGAGCAGTGTCACCCTTTAACAATAGGTGTCTGTACAAGAACCTTCATGGTAGGGTCAGGTTATTTTAATAAAACATCAGGTTGAACAATTTTAAAAATGACTTTTGAAATGACATTTACACAGTACATCAGTTGTAAACCCTTACATATACCCAGTGAAGTGACTGGCCTCATGTGCTACGCAGAGATGGAACAAATTCTCCAACTTAAGTTGTACCTGGTTTTATCTGCAACCTTCTCTCCTCCATAGCCATTCAAAGTACACAATAGGCTCCCAGGTCCCGAAAGGCCGGGACCTGGGAGCCTTCCTGAGGCAGAGGGTGACTCAGGCATTCCGGGGAGGAGAGACTACACAGATTTCAAGATCCAGAAGTATGTGACCAAATGTATGAGACCCTGAACAGGATAAACAGCAATTATTATAAAGAAAAGGGAGTATCATTTTTCTTAGATGCCCAGTACCCAGTGTATCCAGAGAGGGAGCCTCCTGTCCTATATTCTGAGAGCTGCACCAATCCATCCCTAAAGGGGAACTCTGGACATCCTTGGAGCATCTGTACTCTAATCCCTGGACCATAACCATCCTGAGAGGGAGCTTGTTCCATCCGCAGGCCCAGATGACTACCTGTTGATACCAGGATATAATACATATTGCACATTAATAGTGCACGTCTGGTGAGTGCGCATTTCTCCTATTAATATAAAGCACAAGCACCGGATTGAAACTGTGGGGACTTTTTTCACAATTATAGTCACCTATACGGACATTTGCATATATATATATATATATTTCCACTTCTAATATATTCGTTACTTGGCCTATTATTCTTTTATTGGTTTTTATTTGTATCAGTTTATTCTACAGTTTATTTATCATTACTCATTGTCCATTTAAATCATTCTATATAACTTCTTATCATCATTAGCGCTGCACTATTTGTTTTTTGCTTTGATTAAGGATTTCTGTTGGTTGCATTGAGTGCACAGCTGCTTACTGGAAAAACGCTCACTTTTTATCTTACTTTTTGTATCTTCCATGAATACCTACTCATACATACATACTAGGAGCAGTTTGGACAGGAGCAAGATGTCCTACAAACATAACTGTCTTGGTGATAATTTGAACCAAGGACCTCAGTGCTGCAAACAGACATGCTAACCACTAAGCCACTGTGCTGTCCCTTTGCTTGAGATTTTAGTGGTTGGATTGAAATAAATCTGTTGGACAGGAAATGGTTAATGAAAAGTGCCATTTGAGTAATCCCCAGGGGCGGACTGACAACTCATGGGGCCCCCGGAAATAAGGGATCATGAGGCCCCTGTCTCCTTGCCCAAACTCAAAAAAGCCTATGAAAAAGGTACCGGGGCATCTCATGGGGCCCCCTACTGACCCTGGGCTCTCGGGCAGTGCCTGAGTTTCCAAATAGTCATTCCACCCCTCGTAATCCCTGCACCATCTCTGATGGCTTTACATATGCACCAAGGAACATGTTAGTTCTGGTGTTTTCATGCGGTCTATTCTTTATAGGAGAAAATTGCCCCCTAAATTCGTTCTCAGCATAAGCCAAACTGTGTCAATCAGGGACTTTGCCCCTTTGCATAAATGTATCCTCTCAGGCTCAGGCGTCATTAGTCTGAAAAAGCTACAAGGATTGATAATAGTGATGGTATTCATACATTATGCAATAGCTGGAGTTATTATTCAGGTCGATCTTTTATTATATTTTTTTATTTTTTACCAAATGTTAAAAATAGTGGTGAAAAAATCCTTAAAGATTCACCAGCAATCCGATTGACCTTTTTATCAATTTCATGGTACAGTTTTTTAGCAGCAAATGGATGGTGTGTGAACTACACAACAAAAGAGGTTAGGCCTTTACCGCTTGGATTTTGCATCCTACACTTAGGACTTGTTCACACAATGATTAAGAGGCGGTAAAAGCTTTATTGCTTTGTAAATACATTCTTAAATTTTTCATCTAACCTCTAAATAATTGCATTTTTTATTTTAAAAAGGCAATATAAGGCCTTGCATACACAAGTACCTGGGGCTTACTAAATAAAATTAAAGCAGCATTAACCCGAAAACTGTATTATACTGCAGCTTACCAATCATTGAGTGTGGTGGCTGCATTAATTTTCTTTTCTTTGACTTTTTCCCTTTTTTTTCACCTGGTGATCTGGCCAGTAACACACCTCCGGTATTAGTGAGACACCACTGTGGAGGAATGAGCACGGGACACAGCAGACAGCAGCACTGTCAGTCTGGGGGGGGGATTGTTAAATGTATTAGCAGATGTGAATACAGTAACAAATTGAAGCCACACTCCAGCTACTTTCACACTGAACTGCAGCAAAAACACACATATGCTTTTTTGCCATATTTGTACCGTGTTTTTATCGCATTTGCTGTGCATTGTTAACAGAACAGGTGACTCACATGTAAAACAGCACAAAAAAGACAACTCGGGTGCATTTTTGCCATGTTTTCTATAGATTTCAATAGGGAGGTGTGTTGTTTTACTGCACCAAACCTGCATCAAAAATGCAGCAAGCAGGATTTTAAAAAATGCACCTGACCTGCAATGGATCAATATGAAGAGTTTCATGGAAATACATAGTCACGTGGTTTTCTACTGCTTTTTTTAACGCAAAAGCAGAAGAAAAACAGATCAATGTGAAAGAAGCCTGACACTTTATGATGTTACAGCAAAAAAAAAAAAGTATTTTCCTTGCTCAGTACCAATCACTCACTGTGTTCATTCATAACCAAAGCATGGTAAAATATGCTTTTTTTGGGGGGCCCTGTCAGGTTTGCTGCATGAGGCTCCATGGTCTCTAACAGCAGCCCTGGCTGTGGTTCACAAGCATGGAAATACACCTGAATTTTACATTGTACAGCCCTAAATGCCTGTGTGATGCGGCTTTCACCTCCCTAGCGGTCTGATTATGTCCATATTTCTGTGCTCAAAGCGGTACATTTTTTTGCATGGAAATATGTATTTTTTTTATTGTAGGCTGTAATTTTTAGGAATAACTCACTGAAATCTGTCCGAACGAGAGTCTAGTAAACATCCCGGGTATGTTACAATTTGATACACAAAATCATAAATTATAATTTAATAAATAATCATAAAAAATAATAATATAATAATAATAAATTTAATTCAATAATATAATCAAACCAAAAACACTGAAATTTGAAATAGAGCGCCAAGTTCGCACATTATTGAGCAAAGTCGCTAAAACGTTTTCAGTATCTCATGACGAATTTCCCCACGAATCATTATCACTCAATTCTGCAAGTGGTTCTGATTTACTATCGCTGTTCTCTAGCTGGTCTAAAACCGCTTTTGACCTAAAGGGACGCTTTTTGGACGCCATGGACGTTTCTCAGTTTCCAGGCAGAAAGAACAGTAAAAATGCAGGCAGGGCACAGGACAAAGCACTCGGGACAAAATGTATGTGAAATGGTTTGATACAGGAATCTTTTACTCTGTGATTTTAGTGAATGTCACTTTTTGACATTTTCAAATTTCCCGCCAGTTCCGTCCCCCGTACGTCCCGACGTCACAGGGGACGGAACCCAGATGACAGATGCCGGCATCCACCGGAGGACATTACAGGGGACACTGCAGGAGGGACATCGCAGGAGCGCAGGACAAGGTAAGAGAAGAACAGATCCCGGAGAAGCGCCGCATGGTAAGCCCGAGTGTAGCTCGTGGTTACCGCTTGTGGTGCTGAAACTTTACCCCGAGCTACACTCAGGAATACCGCTAGGGAGGTTACAGAAAAGTAGTCATGAAAAAAAAAAAATGAACGTGGATTCACCCAATCATTTCTTGCGTTTTAATACTATACGGTCTGCATGACTGTAGACCTGGCAGGGTTGTGTCCTTTGTCTCTATATTTGTGATAGAAGGTGCCCTTTTTATCTCATCTAAGAAAGATGGGAGGTATGAGAATGTATGAGGAGGACTGTTAGGCAGCCTGCAATGTGTTTACTGGTTTACTGTCCCAGGTATCTAAATACGGCTGCACGGTTTTTAGCCACAGTCATGTGAATGGGTATTTATATGGCTGGTTTTAATGAGAACTTTGGGATAAAAATAAGAATTTCCCATGTAAGATCTGCCATATCACAGCTATAATAAGATCAGTCGTGCCTGTAGACTGAAGCACAAGTTAATATTCTTGGCACGGCTTTGAAGATCCAGTTCTCTGAGTTGTACTTTACAAAATACACGAGGAGACATCCAAGGCACGGGGAGCTGAAAGATTCGCCTTTTACTGATATAAATGAAGTGAACTGAACACTGGCGGGCTGCTGTGGGGTACGGCACATCGCCACGTGCTCCTTATACTTCTCAGCTGACTAGAGACCTGTGCCGGCAGGCTTTGGGCTTGTGTCAATGGCATTCATTTGACATTACACATGTGTGGTTCATTTCTTTCCTAATTAAAATTCTGACTAATATTTCGCTATTCGCAGACTCGGATGTATCCGAATTACAATAGTAACAAAATTTAAACTAATCCAAAATAACAAAATTACGTCCGAAATCGGAAGCAAATTTGAAAACTAAATTGAATCTGAAGAAAGAATAGAATAAAATAGATTATAAAATAAAGGAATAGAATAGAAAGGAACTGAATAGAATAATACAGAACAGAATAGAATAGAAAATAAAAGAATAAAATAGAAAATAAAGGAATAGAATAGAAATGAATTGAATAGAGTACAACAGAATAGAATAGAAAATAAAAGAATAGAATAAAATAGAATAGAAAATGAAGGAATAGAATAAAAAGGAATTGAATAGAGTAAAACAGAACAGAATAGAAAATAAAAGAATAGAATAGAAAATGAAGGAATAGAATAGAAAGAAATTGATTAGAGTAAAACAGAATAGAATATAAAATAATAGAATAAAATAAAATAGAATAGAAAATGAAGGAATAGAATAAAAAGGAATTGAACACAATAACATAGAATAGAAAATAAAAGAATATAATAAAATAGAATAGGAAATAATAGAATAGGAAGAAATTGAATAGAGTAAAACAGAATATAATAGAAAATAAAGGAATAGAATAGAAAGGAATTGAATAGAGTAAAACAGACTATAATAAAATAGAATAGAAAATAAAAGAATAGAATAGAAGGGAATTGAATAGAGTAAAAAAGAACAGAATAGAATAGAAAATAAAAAAAATAGAATAAAATAGAATAGAAAATAAAAGCATATAATCGAAAGGAATAGAATAGAATATACAATAATAAAATGGAAAAGAATAGAGTAAAATGGAATAGAATATAAAATAAAAAAATTGATTAAAATAGAATAGAAAATAAGGGAATAGGAAGAAAAAATAAAAGAATAGAATAGAATAAAATAGAATATAGCCACTTTCTGAAATTTGAATTTTGAATAGAATAGAGTAAAACAGAATAGAAAATAAAAGAATAGGACAAAATAGAATAGAAAATAAAGGAATAGAATAGAAAAAAATAGAATAGAAAAAAATAGAATAGAAAAGAATAGAAAGTCCCCCCACCCCTGCTGGCAGAACACAATTGCGCTGCGGGAGGCATTCCCCCATCAACACCGACTGTGTTGATGGGGAAATCCAGTGAATTTCTTTCCTTCCATTTGTGGTGGAAGGGAAGAAAATCAAGTCATCTGCTACTTTATTCAAACTACATGCAGCCTGTTTATTCAGAGTTCATCCCTGGTTTATGACATATTTGCAAAGTTCAGTATGATTCAGTGTCAAAAAGCTAACAGAGGACCCAATTCTTTTACATTCCAGGGCAAAGGTGTACGTCTTGTAATTTTCCTCACACCTCTTATCCAAAAAAAAAAAAATTTTAAAAAAATTAAAATGGAAGCATTCCGCCAAGTCTACAGTATTTTCCATGCTGCCACAAGGCGTCACTGTTCCTTTGAAGTACACTTATTTACGGAAAGACAAGCAACATGGCAGCTCTCAGTGATATAAATACTACTTTTTTAGACAACACGTCATTACTAAATAATCTCTTCCAGCAAAACAGCAGTTTTTAATAAAAGTTTAAATAAAAAAAAATGCTTTTTTTACTTTTATGAACATAAAGTCTGCCAAGAAAAACATGTGATTTGTATTTACGGTAAGAGTAAAACGTATTTCATGTTGTCATTTAAGACCCCGTGACCCAAGTCTATCTAAGTCCAAGGACTAAGAGTGCTTAATGTAGCTGTATTCAGAACCAGTCTGTACAAAGGACAGGGGTAAGATTATTATACAGGATTTATACAGCGCCAACACTTTACACAGCACTCTACAATATAAAGGGGACGGTACAATTACAATGCAGTTCAATAGAGAAGGAATAGGAGGGCCCTGCTCATGGAGCTTACAATCTAAAGGTGTGATTGTGACGATCGTGGTGTCAGACCCCAGCCCTTCTCACCAAACTCGTGACCGAAGGACTAGCCAATCTAAAACCACACTGTCACGTGCGTAACAATGCCACGCCCAGCTGCACCCTGCACACAGATTTTCCAGCTAATGGACCACAATCTGTGTACCTGCAGCCTGACAGCAATTGTTACTGGGTCAGGTTAATTACACAGATAACCCTTCACACTGCCACCACCTCCTTTTTCTACAGAGAAAGAGGAAACTCGGCCATATCAGCAATAACACTATGATGTTTGCATAAGCGTCTGTATACCACTGTCACCGCAGGCCGGTTATACAGACGTTTAAAACACACACACAGTAGCGCTCTTCAGAGACAGGGGTTCTTAGTTTGCATTAAAGAGCTTTAGAAACAGTTCAACACTTTCAGAAAGTAAGCTTTATTACTAAAAGGTCAAAAGGGTGCAATAAAAATACTTACAGAAAAAGATGTAGCCAATATATATATATATATATAAATATACAAAGAGCAATAGCCTATCAAAGAGATAACAGAAAGAAGTTTAGAGGGATAAAGTACTTGCGTCAGCCTTGGGTTAAGCAGATCAGGTTTCAGAGCCAAAAGGATGCCTTATCTTGCAAAGTTAGTTCCGATGTTAAAAGGGAGAATCTTCAACTTCTCTTAACTCAGCTTACCTCAGCTTTTTCTAGGAACTTAGTAGGGTGTCTCCTTAAAGCAGAGAACCAATCGCCTCATTTGGGGAGATGTTGCAGGTGGAGATGCAAGCTATGACCAAAAACTCTCCCAGTTGATGTCATGGTTCATAACTTATTCTCGGTGCATTTAGCAGCCTGGCCACTAGTAGAGTAATATGCAGACACATCTGCTGAACGGATAGATATGAAATATGACATACCTGCTTGGATGGTTAAGGAGATATCATTTTCTGCTCTCCTGTATATGCCAGCTAGGGGGTGTAATATACCAGGCGATTTGTATTAAAGTGAGCCATCCGAATATGTTCTCCATGTTTATGTAGTTATGTCCTATTTGAAGATATAAACTTATATGGAAAAGTGAGTTTTTAACTGTAAGTTTGTTTTTACGACTACCTGGAATGTCTCTGAAGCTCCGTGAGGGCTTGGTTTATGGTTTTACGATCCCGTCTCCAGCAAGAGTCTCGCAGACATAGGGGTACCAGCTAGTGGGGTTTATCGCCATGACGCCCTCCCAATGAGTTTGCTGCATGTGATCTCTGTCATCAAACAGACCACTTGTCACATAAACAGAGAGGGAGGGGGGATGAGGAAAGCTGATTTGGGAGTAGAAATGATACAAGATGGAAGATCCTTTACCCAAAATGGAGGTTCGCATCCATCTCTGTGTGCACGTTTGCTACAATGATATGCAAATCATTTCTTGATCTAACATTAGTAAACTGTAAGGTGATTGGCTGCAATAAAAAAGCTACATAGTTGCCAAAATATACTTTTGAAAAGTCACATATTTATGTTTTGGATCATCCTGAGCTGTTGGGCCATTTTTCCTAAATTGAAAGAGAATTTTTTTAAAAAGCTGAGCTCCAGTCACGTACTATATAAAAAGTATCAATGCAGGTATGTGATGATTAAAACACCAGAAGGCCTAGTTCGCACTGGCTTTGAAAGCAGGCGTTTGAGGGGCGTTTTTCAAAATGGAAACGATACTATGGGCAGCACACAGTGCTGTTCACATTATCAAAACATGAAGCGCTAGCATCGCTTCGCTTCAAAATTGAAGCCTCATGTCAGGAGGGGTTGAAGCCTTGAACGCCTCCCATCCAAGTTGTTATTATTATTATACAGGATTTATATAGCGCCAACAGTTTGCTCAGCGCTTTACAATATAACAGGAGACAATACAGCAACAATACAGTTCAATACAAGAGGGACAGGAGGGCCTGATCCTGGGAGCTTACAATCTAGGAGGGAGGGGCTAGTGGTACAAAAGGTAGTAACTGTGGGGGATGGACTGGTTGGAAGAGTAGAAGATTCCAGTATTAGCTGAGGGCAGGATAGGCTTCTCTGAAGAGATAGGTTTTCAGAGATCGCCTAAAAGTGGGCAGAGTAGGCGATAGATGGATAGATTGGGGTAGGGAGTTCCAGAGGATGGGGAAAGCTCTGGAAAATGGCTTGAGACAAGCATGAGAGGAGGAGACAAGGGAGTTAGAGAGTAGGAGGTTGTGCGAGGAGCGGAGAGTACGGTTTGGGTGATATTTGGAGACAAGATTGGTGATGTAATTTAGGGCAGAGTTATAAATGGCTTTATATGTTATTGTTAGTGTTTTGAATTTAATTTTTGGGCAATGGGAAGCCAGTGGAGGGATTGGCAGAGAGGGA